CAGAATAATATATTTTCCTATATTCCTAACAAGTTTATTGGGGTAGAAAGTGTATTAGCAAGATTTTGATTTCTAGTGAGCTATACATGTCAAATCGACTGCGACGGTAATTTGACTATCTAAATATTAAGTTGAATATTGAAGGAGACATTATGAAAGGAAGTTGGGAATTAAGTTATGTTGTTTTAATCTATGATCGAATTGGTTTCACAATGGTGGTTGCTTGTCGTCTATTTTTAAACAATAGATTAGTATATTATTTTTATCTTGTTTGGCTTAGTTTCTTATTCGATTAAACCCCCCCCCCCCCAATCTCATGTACATAGGGTGAATAATACTCTTTTAAGTATATAGTTTATGTTTAGAGTTGATTTTGGGTTTATAGAGTTAATTAATCTCCTCTTGAGTTCGACCCTTACTTACCCTTTCTACTAGTTGTTAATATTTTTGAAGGTTTAAGTTAGGTAAATTATTAATTAATTTTATACGGTAAACAACTCGTATCACCGTTCTATTCTTATATTTTATCCTTATCTCGCCCCTTCTATACAACTAAACAAACAACTGAATAAATTTTATTAATTGTCATGCATTAATTTTTCATTTATTGATTCCACTCTAAAAGATCTTGAATCTGAATCTCATCGAACACATTCTTTACTATTTCATAAGCATATATTGTTATCAACTATCCTTATGTGCATACTATAATTCGAAGTTACATTTCCTAGATATTACTCCCTCCGTCCCCTTTTGATAGTCCCTTATGGATAAATTTTAGTCCCAGAATGTTCACCCCATTTGTTTTTTCCAATAACCATTAATATTGAATTTTTACCTAATTTCCCTCTAATTTGCAACAATATTTGTGCAAATTTAACATTCCCATATAAATTTTGTTTTCCCATGTACTTTTATTACTTTCTCTCTTACTTTTTTGCATACTCAATGTCAATTTACTTTTTTAATGTACTTTAATTATTCTTATTTGTGTTTATTAATTCCCGTTAAAAATGCCCATAAGGGACTATCAAAAGGGGACGGAGGGAGTATATGTTTAATAATATTTACTTTGTACTGCTGCTACTATTATACATGTGTTTAATTGTAAAAACATCTTTATATTGTTACCCATTTTATACTATTTTACCTTTTATTCTAAAACCGTGAAAATCAAGCGGGAACAAAACTCAATATTAGACCTAATTTGTAATTATCAACACAGGAACTCCATAAAATATGGAATGACCCTTTAATCATACAAGGTGATTTGTGAATCATGTGTAAATGGACAGGATTAATTTATATATTTATTTATTTACCACCCTATACCTGAGTAGTGTCAAAATGCATGTAATCCTTGCATCCATAAAGTATAGGTCATCCCTATTATATGTGGATACCAACACGGCTGGGCCTAGTAAACCAAGTAAACTATTTGGCCCAATCCGACTTTGTTTGGTTTGATTGTACAATGTTTGGGAGGTATAAACATCCAAGTTGTTGTGTATTTATGCCCAATTTCATTTATTGGGTCCACCCAATATCACATTTTTTCCTCGTGAAATTTACAGTTACTTTACCAAGAGCTTATACCCAATGTTGGGACAAAAGTTTGTATAATATTTAATAATCACTAGCTTAAACTATCACTAAATCATTTTACATATTATATTTCGAACTTATTTTTGGAGTGGACATTTAATAAAATAAGTACCTGAACATTTCATGATTAATTTTTATTTATTCCAAAAACAATCAATAAAGTGTGAATCTAAGTACAACGAACAATGTGTTTTTTGGAGTTGCTTATTTTTTAAGAAAATAAAACTGTTATTTCATTTAGTGGCAACAAAACAGCATTGTAAAGTAAAAGCCTATCAGTACTAATCATTGAAGATTCATCAACACTTTAATTACAACTTATTCAAAACCGTATTTATATACTAATGATAAATACAACACTCGTTACATAATTTACAAATGCGCCACAATGATCATGTACGAGTGTCACAAAATTATTAGGGTTAAGATATATGGTCCATAATCCCTTTTGGCCCAATAAGTCGGGACAAATAGGGCCCAGTTCCAAATCTTTAACATTTAAATCCTTATTAGGACAATGTACAATTTACCAAACCCAGAAGATGTTGATTACTTGGGCCCAAGATAGGTGTTGTGATTAAATTAGTGAACTGTTAAACATCGCCCGCAAATTCCTACATAAAGCCCACAAAATAAGAGTGAAATGACACTTTTGCCCTCAAACTAAAAAACACAATTTCTCTCTCTACTCTCTACTTCCACTTTCTCTCTCTAAATTATTTCCAGAGCTATGTCGAGGCGGCCCGGCAAGGAAGTGGCGGCACCGGCGGTGGGCGGAAGGCGGTTTGCCGGCCAGAAGGTAATTTTTTAAATTTTTGTAATTTTTTTTTTAAAAAAAAAACCTCCGGCGACGGTGGGGCGCCAAGGCGAGACGCCACCACCACGGAGGAAGCGCCTAGGCAAGACGCCCATACGGTGGTGGCGGCGCCTAGCCCAGACGCCACTACCACGGCGGCGGCGCATAGGCTAGGCGCCACGGCCGTGGTAGTGGCGTCTGGGCTAGGCGCCGCCACCACCGTACGGGCGTCTTGCCTAGGCGCCTCCTTCTCTTTTTTTTTTTTTTAAATTTTTTTTTTGTTTTTTTTTAATTTTAAATTTTTTTTCGAATTTTTTTTTTTTTTTTTTTTAAAAATTTGTTTTTCTTTTTTTTAAATTGTATGTTCCCTTTTTTTTTATCTTTTTTTTTTTAAATTTTGTTTTTTTATTTGTTTTAATTTTATGTTCTATTTTTTTTAAAAAAAAAATTGTTTCTGGTTTTAATTTTAAATTTTATGTTCCTATGTATTTTATTTTTTTTTGAATTATATTTTTGTATGTAAAAAAATTATAAGTTCCCTTTTTTTTTTATAAATTTTCTTTAAAATTTTGATGTTCTTCTTTTTTTAAGTTTTTGCAATTTTAAATTTTTTAAGTTTTGTTAGTTTTTTGTTTTTGGTTTTTTCTTTGCATTTTTGATTTTTTGTTTTTGTTTATGTTTTTCATTTTTTAGTTTGTTGTTTATATTTTTGTTTTTGGTTATATATTTTGTTTTTGGTATATTGTTTTGTTCATATTTATATTTTTTTATGTTTATATTTATATTTTTTATGTTTTTATTTATATTGTGTTGTTTATATTTTTATTTTTTATGTTTATAATTTTATTTCCGTTACTTGTTTATTTGCTTTTGTGTTTATTTTCGTCCTTTTTTGTATTTATATTTTTTGTTTTTGGTAATATTTTTTGTTTTTGTTTTTGTTTATGTTTGTTTTTTTTTTGTTTGTAGTTAATATTTTTTGTTTTTGGTATATGTTTATGTTTTTGTTTATGTCGACGATCAGAGTGGACCATATGATGATTACGGTCCATTCAGTCAGAGGCTTGATGATACGTATGATACGCATAGGGTAGATGTGCGTAAGGGTCGAGATGGTAGGTTTGTTAGTAGATCTGGCACATCATCTGCGTCCACTGTGTCTGCGGGTAGCAGAAAACGGTCGAGGGCCGTTAATGATTCTTGGATGGTGAGGGGTGAGGTGGCCGGGGGACCTATAGACGGGAGTGTGATTCCTAGCTTTTTAGGACACATCGCTACCCGTATTTGGGAGGACCAGGAGAGGGCTTTGGATACAGGCATTTTGAAATGCCAAACCCGGGAAAAGACTTGTAGGTTTTTGTGTAGCTGGGCTGATGCTTGGCCGGAGGAGAGCGAGATGGTCGGGCGATTGAGGGGCACTAGAGTGAGTCACCTTCCTGCCACCATGCACGACAGGATTGACTGGACGCTGATCACGGCTTTCATTGAGCGATGGCAGCCGGATACAAACTCGTTCCACCTTCCGTTCGGTGAGATGACGATCATGTTGCATGACGTCGAGGCCATCCTTGGGATTCCCGTGGAGGGAAACCGAGCATCTGTCGTCACTGATGCGGATCAGGCAGATTTACTAGCGGAGCTGTTGGCGGTGGATAGGGCTGCGCTGTACACATCGGCACTTGGTGTGTGGGATCACGGCGGCGTTAAGATCGCAGCCGTCTTGCAGCGATGTTTGCACCCTACGGCACGTAGGACGCAGGACACACAGCTGGCTGCATATGTTTTTCTTCTTCTCGGGTGTACCTTGTTTCCGGATAAGAGCGGGAACAAGCTCAGGCCACGCGACATAGTTGACGCGTGTGAGCCCGACAGAGTAGGCCAGTTTTCTTGGGGGTCGACAGAGTACCCAGGACCCTCTACACCGGACTGATTCAGTATCGCGAGATCGTAGAGGCGTACATGCCGCAGCGCTGTCTTCGCCAGCTTGGATTTGTCCAAGTTGTCCCACCTCCACCGGCATGGCCCAGTAAGGCGGTACGATCTGCGTCGTCGAAGGAGTACGTCGTCCAATGGCCGGCAAACATGATATCCATGTGGGAGCAGTTTCCGATGGTTGCCCGCCTATGGACGGCGGAGCTGCAGCGGCCGCCAAGTGGGGTGACTGCCATGTGTGACCAGCACTACATGGAATGGTACATCCGGCACTCGCACCCGAGGTTGATCAAAGACATCGACGACGCAGATGATGACGATGTGCCACCTGCCACTGCCTCTTATGCGGTACGTCTCATCTTTTATTTGTTGTTCTCTTATTTTAATATATATATGTATAATACGTCGTTTCATGTTTTTTGTTTTGTGTAGTGGATGGGCAAGATTATGCAGTTGGGACACCGACTTTTTGAGGAAAGGGACTGCATGACGAGTGCATCAGGCAGAGCTGTTATTGACGATCTGGAACGGACCCTTGAGCAGTGGCAGTGGGCGTCACAGAGGGATTACTGATATTTGAAATTAGACATTATCTTTTTAGTTTGTAATATTTGAAATTAGACATTATCTTTTTAGTTTGTAGGCTTTGACTTTCACGCAGTTGTTACTAAATGATCTTCCGCCACTTACCATTTACCAATGTCTCTGCTGTTACTAAATTCTTGTTGAAAAGATTGTAGGCTTTGACTTTCACGCAGTTGTTGATGTGCCATATGCACAGTAAATGACTCGACTCCGGAAACAGCTCCGCTATAGGGGCAAAAAGACCTCCCTCACAATCACTTACGATGGCCGATGGCTGTACATTTGGGCCGATGTAGTTTCTCAACTTTTCCAACACCCAACGGTAACTCGCAGCCGTCTCATCCTTCATGACTGCATAACCAATCAGAAAGTTCTGGTTCGTTGGAGCCATCCCAACCATCTCAACCAGTGGGAACTTGTACTTGTTTGTCTTGTACGTTGAATCGATCAAAATCACAGATGGCCAAGACGAAATCATATCAGCACAATCAGGATGGACAAGGAACAAATGAGTTACCTCCGATGTGTCTTCGTCAGATTCAAACCAGTAAAGGTAACCACGTGCTTGTGCCTGGTGCAGAAGCTGCTGTATAGGGTTCCTTCCCTCTGACCGTTCAAACCTCAATTTCTGTCTGACGTTGTAGATGTGTCTTCGGTTTGGCTGGTCTTCGGGGAATTTCTCTAACACAGACGCTAATATTTTAGCGGGCTTCACTTGAGCATCACTCATTTCTTTTACAACTAGTTTCGCAGCTGGACTTAGGCCGCTTAACTGCCGATGCCCCACTTTGTATGCTATCAGCTCATGGTTGTGATATCCCCATTTGCCGTAACCCTTCACTTCCCAACCGTCACGCCTTTGATGTTGTCGAACCTTAACTCGGAACTGACACCCACAACCTTTCCGCTTTGAGTCAAGCCGAATCGCTTTACTGAAATCTCGTTCTTCTCTTTTGCGATAACGGTCGCATCTCAAAATGCGATCCATTCTACCATCCCGTTGAGATTTATGAGTTGCTACTACTAAACAAAAGCCTGATCTAATTGCAACCTGTTTTGCCCAATCAATCGCTTGTTGAGCATCTTCGAACAGGCCATCATGTACAAAAATCCCACTGTAATCATTTCCGTCTCCACCATAATCCTGTAACAATAACATATAACGTATAAATATAATTACATTAAGATTAAATTAATACACTTAACACAAAATTATCACAAACGCAATTTCTAAATTTTAAATTTCTAAATATCATTTTTATATTTAACGCATAATACATTTAAAAAACAAAATAATAACACACATTTCATTTCAAATTTATCAAACATAAATAAACAAACAAAAAAAACCATAATAAAAAAAAATAAACAAATACAAAACAAAATAAAACAAAATAAAACAAAAGCAAACACAAAATAAAAGATGCATTAAAAAAACTTAATTAAAAAAAAATTAATTCCCTCCAAAAAAAATTAAAAGGAAATAAAACAACACAAGCAAACAAAAACAAAAAAATTCCAAAAAAAAAAACAAAACAAAATAAAACACCACAAGCAAAAAAAAAACAAAAACAAATCAAAACAAATAAACAAAAAAAAACAAACAAACAAATAAAAAAAAACAAAAACAAAACAAACAAACAAAAAAAAAACAAACAAACAAATAAAAAAAAAAAAGAAAAACAAAACAAACAAACAAAAATAAAAACAAACAAACAAATAAAAAAAACAAAAACAAAACAAAAAAACCAAAAAAAAAAAAAAGGGGATTAAATTTAAAAAAAAAAAAAAAAAGAAAAACAAACAAAAATAAAAACAAACAAACAAATAAAAAAAAAACAAAAACAAAACAAAAAAAAAAAAAAAATAATATATTCCCCTAGTGGCGCCTGGCCAGGACACCGGAGCCACGGCCTGGGCGCCTGGTCAGGACGCCGGAGCCACGGCCGGGGCGCCTGGTCAGGACGCCGCCGCCATGGTGGCGGCGTCCTGGCCAGGCGCCCTGGCCGTGGCTCCGGCGTCCTGGCCACGCGCCACTACCATGGTCGAGGCTTCTCCACCAGGCGCCGTTACCACGGTGGCGGCGTCCTGGCTAGGCGCCACAACCACGGCATGGCCTTTTGGCTAGGCGCCAGCCACCATTTCGTCCTTACGATGCGTTACGAACCTCGTTTTCCGATGACGACGGCGATTCTCCGGTGATCCTCGGCGATCCGGTGCTGCTCCACATTTTTTTAGTGCGAAAAATTTATCTTCGGTTAAAATTATAAAAAGGGCAAATTTGTCAAAAAATTATAAAATGTGGGCTTTATGTAGAGATTTACGGGCGATGAATAACAAGTCCCTTAAATTAATGTAGGCTTGTATAAATACATGTTTAGTTATTTGGTTAGGAACAAGTGTGATGGAGATATTCCAGTTTCTGACTACGAAATCACTCGAAAAACAAAATTTTCAATAAATACGAATCATTGTCGTGCGTGTGTAAGGCGTACAAATACCGTCAGCTTTTGTAAAATAAAATTAATTCTTGTTACAGTTACATATAAGGTTAACTTAAGCATAGCGATAACCAATATGTTTCTTTGTTACATTACTAGCATGTTCAACCTTGTCTCTTCCTTGACGACCAGAGCGCCTTTGTCTTTCAGTTTTAGACCCCATCAGCTCGGAGACATCCTACCACACAACGATACAACCCAATGATGTATTAATGAAACATATGTGTCCAAAAACAATTTCGTTATTGTAGACACCTAAAAATGTCTCCCCAAAACCAAACCCGATGATGAACAACCTTTTACCGCCATTATTGGTCGGGTTGAATATTTAATCTTTAGAGTGCTTAAATCCATATTCAAAACCATATTTTCATTTCATAAACCAACCCAATTCCTAGCCCATTTCCCCAAACCTTCACTTATTTTCCTCTTTTCGTGCCTTTAAACCCAAAATAATTCATTTCGTATCCTTTAAAATCATTCATTTCGTGTCATTTTTATAAAACTTTTAATCCATTTTATTTTGGTCCTTAATCTGGGTCCAATGATTTAATAGTTTGATGGGGCTTTAAAAGATCTTTCTAACGATATATTATAAGCCCAAATCCGAGTTATAACGAATAAGTTATGGCCAAAATATTAAACTGAGCCCAAACCGAACCTAAGGTCACCTTACCTACTACCCTATAATCATGTGGAGGGTCCAAATTATTTAATCCCATTCCTAAAACAATTAGGATGAATTATAAGCTTCTATAAGTTTCTAAAAGATCCTAATTATCCTTTTTGAAAAGATAAGATTAAAGAAGTTTGAAATTGAATAAAACTCCTTTTTTTAAAAGTCCTAATTCTATTCGAATCGAAAGACGTTCAAAGATAGACAGATAATATTTTCGTGCCTCACAGTTTTTATCCAAATCTTTGACGGTTGGATATCCCTTGAAATTATGTATCCAATGATATATTATAATATCAAATTCGAGCAATAACGGAAAAGATATGAATAAAATATCAAACTCTATCCAAAACTGATACCGTCTCATTATTTCGGCTATATCTTTTGTTATACAAAATATTTTAATCTGATTCTAATTGGATAGAAAGTAGACTTCAAGAGCTTTCCAACGATATCTTATTCATCTTATTCCGATTTCTGGATCAAAAGATATGATAAAAACAAAACTCGCAAAAACTGCTGTCTATCGAGTTTTATTCCGATTTAATTCGGATCTTATCTTAATTCTTCGACCCCTCTTTTTTCTCTATAAATAGAGGTCATATCACCCCTTTTTCAATCATCAACAAGCTTGATCATCAAATCCTTCTCTCTTCCTCTCTTTTACACCAAAATTCTTCTCTCTCTCTCTCATATTCTAAGCCTTAAACCTATATTCCTAATTACATCATTCTTCCCTTAAGCACTCCAAGGAGTCCATACAATACCCGAAGTTCTTTACTTTAACCAAGGCGTGAAAGTTATAATTAACTGAGGGTTTGGACCAAATCAAATCTACATTTATTTAATTTAATTTTCATTTGCTTTATATTTTTTATTGAAGTTACCAACAGTTTATTCATGATGTAGCAATTTAAAGGAACGCGCAGAATGTGAATAATTAATTAATTTAATTACTCTTATTTTATTTTATATTGCTAGTATCATGATTAGGTTATTTTATATTTGATTTTACTAACAAATTATTGTTGAATTGCTTCCAATATTAATGTTTATTCTATTATTATTTATTGATCACTATATTGCATGTTTAAAAGGAATATGTAATTGGAAATCACGCCTAATAAGATAATTTGGACAACCGGTTTAGGTTCCTTTTTAATCTTGTTGTTAATTCAAGTGATCACAATATTTTAGAATTATGTGTTGCATTAATATTAAACCAATTTAGCTTAATAATAGTTTAGAGCAAATTGAATTTTTGTTTGCATGTCTTTGAGATCGCAGGAATCATTTTTCACAATAAGAATCGAGTAGAGGCTAATACGGGCGAATGTGACTCCATGACTCACTTCGTACCATCATCCCCAATCCTCCTTTCGTGGTTCCGAATCATATGGAGTTAGTAACCTCATGGATTATGAATGGGGTGTAACCTTCACGGGTAAATCGTTGTCCCTTACTCGTGGTTTCCTTTTATGATCCGTGAACGGTTTACAAGTTCCTTAAAAACTTGTTGGCGGCTCCCTACTTTCCTTGTCCCTAATCGTATTATGTTAATTCCCACTTCCTATGAGTGCCAAGCATATTCACCACATGCTTTTAACGTAGGCGCACTTCGAGCGACGCCTACAGCTATCAGTACAAAGTGTAAACAAAAAACTCACTCTAAGCACAACATTTTCAATTGGTGCTTCAAAGTCCCTAGCAATCCTGTAATGACTCTCTCCATATGCAACATCAACCAATTGCACAAAAATCACGTAACTCTTAGCACTAATATTAAAATTTCTGTTTTCCTTGCAAATATTCAACTATCATTACACATGTGTAGATGAATAATATAGTTGTTGATTAGAAACTAACCCTAACCTCCCGTAGTCCCCATATCTTGTCCGGTCCTCCTTCGCTACCATTGAGATTTCATGCTTGGTCTACACCTTTATCCTAGGGAATACATCCCATTGTAAAGGAGGCCTATTTAGCCTGTCAAGGTAAAAAAACTGTAATAAAAACATCATCAATTCATAATCACAAAATCCATAATTCACTAATGTCAGGTCTTAAAAATTGATATATGTATGCATCGTACTCACAACAGCAAATATCGCGCATCCTCCACATCCACCAGCATATCCAGTTGCATAGAAACGCCGAGCAAAACTGGACACACTCTCCATCATTTTATTCAACACCAAATCACTCCAATCATACTCCTTACAGTCTTTGACACAGCTACCATCCGGTATTATATCTGAGGCTAGCCGAGGTGATTGATTTGGACACAATACCATATGCAGTAAAAGGATAAGAAATAGTGTCTTGAATTCCTCTTCCTCGTCTTCACCAAAGTTTCCCTCCAATCTATCCATCATTTTACTACTTATCGGAATACCGACAGATGTATAAACACTTCCACATCCTCTACTAGATTTTGTTTTCCATGAACTCCCATATTAATCACCTTATGAACCTTCTTGCAAACTTCATTGTTGATCATTTTTTAACATGGCACATACTTGTTACCACTGGGTGTACCTAATATCCATCTAACTTGATTCTTTGACAGCGGAAACTCATGTCCATCAGGAGCAATCAAGATCCTATTAAGTGGATCAATTCTAGTCATAATCCAATACGATAATTGTCTTGGTAGATGCATGTCTGACACAAGATGAAGAATGCCCCCAAACCCCATCTCATTGACCCATCTAGTCCTTCTTTCCTCAAATTTCTTACAAATACGCCCAAATGAGTGAATACGGCAATTGATACTCGGTGGCTGAAAACATAAATCAAAATCCCCAACTAATCATTATGACCAACACACACAACCTAATGTTTAATAAATTAAAACAACAGTTTGTTCCTAAAAACAACAATAAATGTCAACAACTCCTTATTAAAAACTTGTGACTTGCATATAGTGTTGGACAAAGTGGATCATAATAGTTGAACAAGAAACCTGGATTTCAAATACAACTCATAGCTATAGACATTGATTTACCTGAAATTTATTTACCATCATATGCAAATAGAATACCACAAATTAATGCTATTAGGATTGGTTTTAGTCCGATGAATAATGAGGAAGTTATGGCCAAATTACTAAATTGGGCCCGGTTTGAGCCTTATATGCGGCCCAATGATCTAGAGGAGGGCCTAATATGGATTTATCATTCCTAATGCAATTAGGATTGGTTTTAGTCTTCCAGATTCATCTAGAAAGTTCTTTTCATTCCTAATTCAATTAGCATTGATAAATTGACTTTTGTTGACTTTTTGGAGTTTTAATTAGAATAAAAGAGTGTTTTTAAGGAAAATACGATTTTTCCCTTCTGTACGGCCAAATTTTATCTGAATTTAGAAAACGCGTGAAAAAATTAATTAGCGCTTAACGACAGACATTAGCGCCTGGCGCCTAGCGCTAATGTTCAGCGCCTGGCACTAACTTCTTTTTTCCTCATCGTAACTCTGATTTGTTTTTCTATCTTTTTGGCTGATTTTCTCTATAAATAGCCTCTTAAAATTCTGTCAATCATCATCAATTTTCATTAATTCTAATTCTCATTAACTCTCATCAAGAATTTCTTGATTCTCTCTTTCTCTTTCTAAACCAACCCTTTTACAAACACAATTCCTCATACATTAGCACTAGAGACACCTAGCCAAGTTCGAAGTTGTCTTCGCCCTAGACGTGAAAGGTTTTAATTTCTGAGGGTTTGGCCCAAGTCTCTATTTCAATTATTTAATTTAATTGTTTGATTATTATTTTCCTTGAAGTTACTAACGCGTGTATTTTGTTATTAGAAAGAGATACAAGGTATCCGTGTAAGTGTTTTAAATTGATTTATTGATATTATGATATAGAAATCATGTCTAGGTTGTTATTATGATTCCTAGTGTCATGTTAGGGAGTTTTGATCTTCTTAGTATCATGTTTAGGGTAATTTCTAATATCAAATATGACAAGTGTGTTTCCTACGATGTCTTTTATTTTCTTTCCTAATATTCATGTTAGTATCATGTTAGGGTTAAAATTTTGATTTTTATGCTTAGTGACATGCTAGGGTTTGTTATTAATCTTGTTAGTATCATGCCTAGGATCTTGCTATTATTATGTTTTAACATGATTTATGATTATAATTTTATGATTATTATTATTATTATTATTATTATTATTATTATTATTATTATTATTATGTTGCTTGATTATATATTGTTATTGCTTGATCACACCTTTTATGCATATTTAAAGGGAGTTTGTACTTGTAATCACGCTTAAAAAGATAATTAATAATCTTGTTTAGGGTTAATATGATTATAATTCAAGTGATCGCCAATAATAGTTTTGTTTGTGCATTAATATTCGACCAACATGGATAAACAGGTTAAGGGTAATCCTATTGGTTGCATGTTAGTCAGAAAGCGCACATGAATACGATCAGAATAAAGTAGAGGCATATTATTAGGGCAGGTTCAATCTCTTTTAGGTTGGATTTGTACCTTCATCCCCGAACTACCAGTCATGGTTCCAGACCTATTGAAGTTGACGATCTCATGGATTGATAAGGGGTGTAACCTTCACCTCGTGAACGGTTTACAAGTTCCTAAAACTTGTTGGCGACTCTTTTGCTCTAGTTTCCTTTCCTTTGGACGTCACCGTACTTTAGTGTATGATCACAGTGGGGTTCAAGCAAGGGATAATGCTTAAAATATTCCCTACAACTACTATAAGGAAATAGCATGACCTTGCTTTAATTTCACAAAATATAAAATTCATACAACACCATTACTTTGAAACAACTACCAATTAAACTTCGATTACTAGTTTAACGAACAAGGACACAAGATTAGGTGCTAAAAAGGACTTTCAACACCAACCTTTAACGGATATAACAAGATTAATTACTATAATGATGTAGCAAAGCAAACATTTATAAGCAAACCCTAAACAACACACATCAGATCCCAGATAGCCCCCCACATGATGCTAATACCAATTCATTACAACCATTGAATATGGAACACCTACACCATCCCTTTTGTTTGAAACCATAATCAAAACCTTTTAATTAAAATTTACAACTGTAATTTCACCAAACAACACCAACCCTTGTTTTGTATAATTAAAAAACACACTTTAATTAACTTTCGGAATTCCATTTCAATACCAACCCTTGTTTTGTATAATTAAACAACACACTTTAATTTATTTTCGGAATTCCATTTCAACACCAACCCTTGTTTTGTAGCATTTTCCAACACACTTTAATTACTTTTCGGAATTCCATTTCAACACCAACTCTTGTTTTGTAGCATTTTACAACACACTCTAATTAATTTTCGAAATTCCATTTCAACACCAACCCTTACTTATATGTTTCAGCAACAATTTAACCAAAATACAAAGAACAAGGAGATGTGTTCTAAATCAAAGTAACACAATATGAATTAAACCCAAAAATAAGACTTACATCGGATAGTGGATACGGCAAAGGTCTGTGTTGTGCTTCGAATTCCGGTATCGGTGAGCTTTCTATTGGTGAAGCAGATCTACCTATATCTCCCTCGCACAAATCGCCACTCGAAGCTTTTAATCTCCTTTCCTTTATGAATAATGACTCGTTTGACGGCGTTAATTGAAAACTGATGACTGTGCACGATGACCTGGTCATTGATTACACGTAAGCAAACACATTACTGCTAACCTGGAGTCCACGTATAATGGATATTACCTTCATACCCTTATGATGAACAAGGTTTGTTCATCATAAAGATGAATATGAATTTTGCGTGTATGAATTGGGTGTATGATTGAACTGAATGTTTTGGGATTTTAGGGTGAAAGAGAGGGAAGAGATGAAAGAATTAGAAAATGAGAAGGTAAGGGCATAATTGGGTTTTTGGGGGGGTGTGTAAAGTAGGTGAAGGTTGTGTTTAGCAACCGTGTTAAATACTATACAAGGTTTCCTAATAAAGAAATTGAGTAAATTTTAAAATGGCCAGAAATGAAAAGTGGAGCAATTATTTAAAAACAAAGAGAGTAATACGGAGTACATAACAAACATAGTTGGCCCACACTTTTTTTTTAATCACTAGACCTTTCTACAACACTACTATCTACTGAGACCCTTTATAGTACTACTAACACTTTATATTATACGCATTGATGATATTATTAGTATTATTAATGGAAATACTTAATAATTAAGATTAATAATCCCTTGTTTTTGGATTATAATTTTAATGGGAAATTTTTATAATTGAGGAAGATTACAACACTCATATATTACAAACGCAATAATTGAAAGTTTAAACAGACATGAACTAAACTAGAATTCCTCTACTTTAAGAGAGATAAGAGTCAATCTGTTTCTTAAGGTGAGGATTTTCTCTAGAGAACTATCTAATGTTTTTATAATATGCTTTAGCTAACTCCTTCAACTCTGGCACTCTACTCTTCACTCTTTTCCTTATGCCCTTTATATCGAGGAAGGCTAATACAGGTTACCAACTCTTTCTATGTCTTACAACAAGGCATGACTCAACAAGTGATTATGTCCACTGCTTTTTCTAAAGACACTTTAATTGGACTTGTGTGGACCCGGTCTACAATAAATTATTGTAGACCCAAAATTTGACACTTTCAAATAATATAATCACATTCTGGATGATATAATCACATTTTTAGATGATATAATTATCTTTTTGTGAGTCATATTTTGAATTATATAATCTCATAGTAAATCATTTAATGAGATTATATAATTATCTTTAGGATGATAAAATTTAAAAATCATCTTTTGAATGATGTAATTTATTATTTGATACTTTTTATAATGATAAATTCACTTTTCGAGTGATACATATACATAACAGTTTCAGAATAATATAATCACTTTTGTAGTAATATAATCACATATCGTATGATATAATCACATTCGTATGGTATACTAGAAGGTTGGGTCTACAATAAGTTATTGTAGACCGGGTCTATTCTAGTCTTTACCAAGACACTTTACAACAATAACAATTAATAAAATGTGGCTATAGTGAAAGTAGAATGCATGATTGCTGTTGTGCGCTCAAAAATCTATTATCTCATCTATCATCTCATCTATCATCATGTCTTGTAGACCACCCTCGTTGTCTTTACTGTCATCATAGTGGACACCTGTGAAGCACGGACACGCCACCTAGCTGAGGTGTCCGTGTCGACACGCGTGTCCGACACCGACACGGGTGGGACACGGTGCGATACGTGTCCGACACTTCAAAATCCGTGTCCCTTTTTTTTAAAAAAAAATACGTCATGGACACAGACCGTGTCTCCCTATGACACGGCCCGTTTTATTTTGGACACGCCCTTTTGTTATTCCAGCCCAACTCCCTCAGTTTCTTTTTTCTCAAACCCTACTGCTTTCAATCTTCCTCTTCACGAGTTCATTCTACCTCAACCTTCTCAAACCCAAATCGCCGCCGACTGAAGTCGCCTGACCGTCGCCCACCGTCCACCGTCACAGCGTCAGTCGTCGGCTCGTCGCTCGTCGCAAGTCCTCAGTCATCACGAAACCTGGCCACTTTAATACTCTATTCCTTCAATCCTTTGTCGACTCGCCGTCAGCCCGTCACTCGTCGCTCGTCGCCGCCGTCCAGGCGTCACTCTCGTCGGTGCTCTCAGCCTTCTCACTTTCTCAGGTATTCCTCTCAATCTCTCATTCTCGTTTTAAATTTTTAATTTGATTTCATTCCTTCACGATTTGCTTAAATTGGCTAATTTCAGTAATTTGTATCATGGTTTTGTGGTTCAATTACTTCAATATTATGTTCTAGATTAAGGGATATGTAGTGTTTTATCTTTTTGGATAACTTTATGGTTTTCGTTTTTGTTATTTGTTTACCCCTTTTGAGTTTTGACCATTTTTGGGTTTAAAAACTTGCTTTCAGTTAGTCTAAACTTTTGTGCATTTTTGTGATTTTTGTGATCATTTAGTCTAAACTTTATGCTTGCCCTTCAACTGCTGCATTAGTGCATTGATATATATGTTGTGTATGTTAGTGCCCATTGTTTTGGAGAAATAATATGCATGTGGATACTGTATATATAAATGAAACAGCACTCTATATTTCTAACATTTACACTATAAACTTATACATATAACACATGTGCATTGTGTAATTTGATTGTGTTGTTTGAGCTAAACTATAAATGTTTGATTTGCTGAAAATGTGTTGTTGTCTTGTTGAAATTGTCAGGAATGTCTTCTAGTGGTTCTAGTGCCTCTGCTTCGTGCAATGTTAGTGGTAGTAGTAATTCATCTGAGTCTAAGAAGGACCCCTACCCTTTGTGGAAGTTTGTTGTTAAGGGTGATAAAATATCGGGTGGTGGAGGAAATTATAATTGGAAATGTAACTTTCTAGGAGAAGTGAAGAATACACTAAGGGGAGATCTAAGTTGTGGGATGTGGGTGGAGATGAGCATGACAACCTAGGAGAGGTTGGTATTCTAGAGATGGCCGAGCTCTCACTTGATGAACCCGAGATGGAGAATATGATTTTTGATGATGTACTTGGTGATGGTGAAGAATGAAACTATTAGTACTTTTGTTTATTTTATTTATGATTTGTAAAACTATTATTAAGACATGTATTTGGTTTGATGGTTTCTTGATATGTATGAGACTACGTTCGTACACTTTGTTTATTTACTTGTTTTAACAAAATTGTGTGTTTTGAGGCTAATTATTTAGTGTTTTATTGAATAGGTTGTCAAATTCTCGTTTTTTTGATATATTATATGCCTTGTTATATGCCGTACCCGTGTCCCCTATTTCAGGATTGCCGTTTTCCCGTGTCCGTATCGTGTCCGTGTCCGTGTCCGTGTCGGTATCCGTGCAACATAGGTGGACACGCATTGGATTCCTCTTCTATGACACATTTGGCAGCATTTAATTCGTCCTATATCATGAAAGATTCACACAGATTTTTATGGCCTTCAAATGATAGAAGCTTTCCACTTTCAATATCTTCTAAATATTTGTAGACTAACTTAGTATTGTTTATTGTTTCTACTAAATATTCCCGTATGATGCTACAATTTTAGTATTTCCAACATGAACTATGACGAGAGGATTTTCAGTTCTTTTTATGAAATTATTGAGATGTTGTGAGATATAGAAGAATCCCACTTCCCTTGCTTGTTGCTTCAGTAGGATTTTTAACACTTCTCTGACAAACTAGGATGGGATCCCAAACACTTGTCTGCACACTATACTTAAAAGTTCAACCAAAGAGATAACTAAAATTATTTTTCCAAACCAGATACTCCCTACGGTTTTAAATATTTGCTCCATTTCTCTTGTGCACATATGATGATGCTAATATTTTATCTATCTTTAATTATCAATAAGCATAAATTCTAACAATTAAAAATTAGTAATCATTTCATTGAGACGATTCCAACAAGTACCCACAAGACTATACCTTAACTTATGTATAAAATTACAAACACTAGACAAAGTAAGACAAATAAATAGTGCAAAAAATAAAAACGGGGCAAGTATTTAATAACGAAAAGGTAAAAAAATTTAAAAAAAAAATAGAGGGCATAAATATCCAACTACTATTCATAAAGTTATCTTAAACTTTTTAAAAGGTAAGTATAAAAAATAAAGTTATTGAAAAAGGATAAAAAATAAAGTTATTGAATCATTTGTTATAAGCAAAATTGGTCGCAACACCCTAAAGTATGACTTAGATGCTATGAGCACCCTAAATTTTGTGTAATAGTCAAAACACCACCAACTATGGTGTTATGTGCAACGCGTGACATAAATGAAAATTTCCCACAACTTATTTTACCAGGAGGAGGTGAATCTTCACTCTCTAGAACAATTATGTAGTCTTCCATCCACTTAGCACGTATGGATTCACCTCCTCCGATGAAATAAGTGGCCAACTATTTTCATTTAAGGCACACGTCGCACCTAAGACCATAGTTGGTGAAGTTTTGGCTACTATGCATATTCCAAGGTGCTCAGTGCACCTAAGTTTTAGGGTATTGCAGCTAATTTTGCCTTTGTTCTAAAATTTGTATGTTCATCAATATACTTTCAAAATTTCCCTTCAAAAAAACCACTCACAATTAATAGTATGCCTCAATTTCGTACCATTGTATATTAGATTATGACAACGTATTAAACTAAGGGTGATTATTCATACTAGATTTAAATTATTACAACTTTACAAGTGATTTTTTTTTAGCGTAATTTGGCTAAAAGTTTCATCAAAGTATGTTATTCCGCGTAGATCACAGCCGCTATTTCATAAAAAGGCATGTACGAAATAAAATACCAAGGAGAAAATCATGCATTTATGCAGTAAACAGTTTAAGGTATAAACTTTTGTTTTCAACTACATAAAAATCACAACGGATCAGTTACAAAGATCGAATATCCAACTGCTCTATAATTTGATTTTGTTAATGCTCATAATATGTTCAATGGCAGCCAGCAAAGATGCAGTAAAATGCAATAAACACTATTATATAACAACGATAACTTAAGTTCAGTTTGGCTGTAAAAATCTGTTCGTGTAGTTGTCTTTTCCTTACAAAATATCACAGGCAATAGACATTGAAGCTCGCTGACATTTAATAGGAGCAAAACTGATCAGTCTGAATTGAATTCCAGCAAAATTACAACACTAGAGGCAGATTTTCGTCTGCTGAGTTTTGCAGAGGGGGAGGGTTAAAATTAAAAAGAGGGGTAAAGAATGCCTATAACATACCACAAAGATCTAGCTACACACCTGGGTCCCAAAAAAGAATGAAGGAAAAAGAAAATCTAGCTAGCCATAACAGCCTGATCTGTCAACTGCAGAGCTTGTGTAGCGAAAAACCTGACATCCACATCTGGGTCTTCACTAAGCTCAATTAAACAAGGCCTAATAGTTTTCTCAACCACCTGAAAAAAGGAAGTTAGTGTAAGAACTCAACCCATTTCAAAGTAGCTTTGCAGCAAATGAACTCCAAAATACTCGTGGAACATCACTTGTTGGTGGGTTGTTTGGGGATGATGAAAAGCAAAATATAACGGAAACACGCACAAACCTTTATTATTATTTCCCTCTACATCAGAAGGATAGGAGGCCAGTGAGAAAGTTATCACCGATCAGATAAGCTAACTAGCTAGGTTGCTTAGACTTAGGAAAGAAGATCTTATATAACGCAGAATCAAATAAATGATGTGACTAGCTGACTGCTACATTACCAACAATGACAATCAACCTTGCAATAAAATCATGAGCATTTTAAATTCCTAAGATGATAGAGCCTTTTTACCCTCTGCATTGAGGGAGGGGTCGCTGAGGAAGTTGTCATCAACTTGATGAGTCAATCAACGAATTTACTCAGACTTGGGAAGAAGGATCATATACAACATGGAATAGCATAATAGAAATATGGAATAGCAAAACAAGATCCCAAAATCAAACTGCACTGTCCACTGCGTCAATATGGCATAGCATTACACCATTAACCCTAATTATGGTAGTGAAAGTGATAAAAGATATACTTTTTAACCTAGCAAGCCCAATCCATAAATAAACTGCAATCAGAAAGACCTTTCTGTTCAATGATATACAGCGCATCTAGTAGACTAGTGCACAAATACTCAAAAGAGCAAATACTTTTTACTTCTGTCGCCCTTTAGTCCTTGAATATGGAAGTATATTCAAACAACTAACACATCAAATCACTATTCTTAACTGAAAATCTTACATTACCCTTTCTCCCTGAATGAGGGAGCGGGTGAGAAGCAGAAGCCAAACAGATATTTTAATTACCAAACAACATTATTTTCCAGAGAAGAAATTACTTACTGATTGATCAACGATAGGAATAAGCGACTGCAACACTTTTGCAACATTAAACTTTATGTTTGGTACCCTGAAGTGTGTAAAATCCAGATTAGCAAACCGTTTGTGTATTGAGAAAAAAATAAGGCAGTCCGCTAGATAATATTTTAGATGATTAAGAGAGCAGTAAAGCAAGATACCTGTCCTTAGATGCAGTTACAACTACTGGTAACAATTTGGAACATGTAATTTCTGCGCCCATGACAGGGCCAAGCAGGGAAATTGCTTGTACAATTGTCATCCGATACAGATAGTGCGGGTTCGTAGCCATGTCCAGAACCTGTTGAAAAATATTACATCACGCTGCTAAGATATTTACAACAGAAATGAGTGGTCACAGGTTCACAGGGAATCATATTTCTTTTTACAATATTAAAATACTTCAAGTCAAGAGACTTTCTTTCTATAATAGATTCCATATTCAAATTGAGTAATTAGAAATTTAGAATAATATATTTTGTTACTCACGGAGTCATGGTATTATACAGAATATCATACATACATTATAAAATCAAATATAGATATGCATTTTAAGTTTTACAATCTTTTTTTTTTTTTTTTTTTTGGAAGTCAATTTCCAGGTGCAAAATATAAGTGACTTTGTGTCCAGGTTTAATTTCATAACATAATGATTCCTTCTCTTCCTTATCATACATTTGTAGTGCAGAAAAGATAAGTGCAGGCCAAAGAAAACTCAAGCAATGACGTGTAGACATACAGGAAGATAACTAAATGAGAACAGCACTTCAAAACTTAAATTTTCTTCAAGTCAAAAGTTAAATGTTATACCAATCAACAGAAAAGAAATAACATACTTGTGGGATTATGTGTTGCATTGCCCATTCTGGGCCAAATTCTTCAGCAAGGCGCTTAACATTATTCGCTGCAGCATCACGAATTGAGTAGACCTGAAAATCAAATGCCTAATGTTTAACAAATTGAATAAAAAACAGTATCCACTCCAAGTGGCATGCCATTGTATACCAATATAAAGTATTTCAGGGTCCACAATTCCCAATTTGCAAACTATTTTGCCTTTATCGGCTCACATGATTTTATACTAGGAATTTGACTTGCATTATGTTGAACTGTTTACATTTTTATTAAAATTCAAAAAAAAAAAAAAAAGAAAGAAAAAAGATTAAGTCATGTCAATTTTTTTTAAAAAAAGGGTGCTAGTTTCACAAACCTTGTCATTCAACCACTGCATGCATAGAGCACCAAGTTTGTCATCAAAGAATCCGACACCCAACTGACTGGCCAACAAAGGTATGTATTCAATAATGGCCAATCGAACTCTCCAATGTCGATCTTCAGCAAGCTCAACAATTGCTGGGAGTAATGACTGTGATAACAAATCTATTCCAATGACCTGCACTACGAAGCATTGTGAATTAAGTTACAAGAAAATTACAACGCATAAAAAAATCAAGGGAAAAGAAAAGCACACAGCAAAGCGTATGAGTTGAGAGAAAATAGTCTAATCAGATATAGAAAGAGAAAAAACAAATCGATAAATAAACGCTTTGTACAAACCTGATTCACTTGATCAAGCTTGCTGATTATGTTCAGACGTACATCAGGAAATTCATCTTTCAGAAGAGAGAGAAAGATGGGAAGAAGCTGCTCAATTGTAGCATCCTGTGACCAGGTACACGAAGGTCGAGTCAATTGAAGGACAGTCAATGGAATTCCTATTGAATAATTAACAATAAAACAGCTCCAAAAAGCTTGCAGAATAAAAGAAAACATAAATTATATAAGACTGATCTTAGCAACAGAATCCTGGAAGAAATAAAGCAAAGGAGATCAACTGAATACCATAGGAAAAACAAATAGCATATTCTCAATTGGCTTCTTTCTAAAGGCACAATCAATTAAGATAACATATGCACAACTTTCAAGGATGAAAGGGCATTACAAACACATCACATTAATGAAATGGAGACAAGTAGAAAACCAATCAAACAGCAATAACCAGAAAACAAAAATTCTACAAATATTGCCAAATCATTATCTTAACTCCCAGCCAGCATAAACCTTTTGTAACAAATGCATACCTCACACATGTATAATCACCCCTTTTGTACAGCACAAAGTGTGTCAGACATGAAATTTACACCTCATATTCAGATTAAGTAAATGATTTTCAATTAGCTAAATTCTGAGCAGATGTACTCAATTTTTTTTTAATTGTTTACTTAATATTCTTCCAAAATTCAATTTGAATCATTTATCCATGTTTGGAACTCCAATGTTGATTTTTTACTTCTATTAGTTAGAACGAGAAAGCAAAATTCCTCCATAAGAAACAAATTCCAAATAGGATCCAATGGCCAGTAAATGAAATTATATCAATCAAGAGTAAATTGATTTGGAAGAAAGGGAACTAGTAGAACAGGTCAAATAATTCTACATAACAAATAAATATGGTTAGATCAAATGACAGAATTTTGGTCATGGATTTATCGATTTGACAGATGGATCATGTTTCAGGTAGTTTGTTATCATCTGAATTAGTTTTAAAATTGTTAGGTTTTCTTTGAGTTTATGTTAAAAAATGAATACGGAAATTCCCCAATCTTTATCAGCAATTGTCCTAATAAGATCCCTTCAGTATATGCAGCTAAATTTAACTGTGTTTGATTGGGTATGCAGCTATACACAGCAGCTGAGATGCATGTAAATGAGTTTGTATAATCATTTACCTCAACTAAGTTCATATGCAATATTTACTCGATTTCGTGTTTTCAGATATTTGTTCACTTCTTGCAATTATTGGTGACACATCATTTACAAAATAATACTTATGTAGAATAATATAGAGCACAAGTAAATTGATTTCTCACCTTTCCTAGAATTGGTGCCATTCCCATTATAACTGAAGCCAGAGCAGAGCGAACATGCTGAGAAGAATCTGATGACAATTCCTGCATAGATAAAAGCTTGTACATCAGGAAGCTCAACAACCAATGTACAAGACACACAAAGAAACAACTTCAACTGAATAATATAAAATCATTTAAACGACCTACATTGACATCTATCCAAATATACCTTGACACATGGGAGAATATGCTGAACTGCAAGTTCGGGATTCAAGATACGGCAAAATTTGGTCACTTTTCCAGCAGCAGCTATACGTACTTCTGCTTCATTGTCACGAAGCAGCCGAACATATGCAGGCACCAAGTCTGACCTAAACAAGATAATAATAACCAACAAGATATTTTGAGGCAAATGATGGACATAAAATGGGTGATAGTAGCAAAATAGTCAATAGATACCTCGTAGGTTCAGGACCAACTGCTTCACACAGCTCATAAAGTTGATTTGCAACCATATAGCGTACACGCCATGACTTATCCTGACAACATAAATTGATATATTAATAAAATTAAATCGCATATAATAGAAAGAAAAACATTTTAACCATTTCACCCTCATAAACATATTTCATCTTAAAAAAAGATACCCAATTCATGTAGAATTTGGTGTTTATCTTATGGCCAAAAAGAAAAATTCAAGAGACAGATATATCCGCATAGATATCAGCAAGATGCTCACTGTGTTTTTTATTAAACATTATATAGGAATTACAAATATGAAAACCAATATGACATACAATAGGTGTTCATATAGGTGTACTCAATCATGGTAGTTACTGCTTAAGACGATTTTTAATTAGGACAGAACACATACCAAGGGATAAAACTTGTGATTTTGCGAGGTCCTCTAATATACAAGTTGACATGAATGTCTGAGACTTTCCCAAAACATCTTTTAAATAGAAACCTTTACATCCTTTAGGACTTAAGATTCCATTATACATGGCCAATAAGATGTACAGGCATATATGAAAGGCTACAAGAATCCCCTAGAACAACTCCCTTTCTTAAAAATTGGCCAATAAAAAAAATTCCAACGAAATTACTCAACTAATGGACCCCCCCCCCCATGGTAGTTACTGCTTAAGACGATTTTTAATTAGGACAGAACACATACCAAGGGATAAAACTTGTGATTTTGCGAGGTCCTCTAATATACAAGTTGACATGAATGTCTGAGACTTTCCCAAAACATCTTTTAAATAGAAACCTTTACATCCTTTAGGACTTAAGATTCCATTATACATGGCCAATAAGATGTACAGGCATATATGAAAGGCTACAAGAATCCCCTAGAACAACTCCCTTTCTTAAAAATTGGCCAATAAAAAAAATTCCAACGAAATTACTCAACTAATGGACCCCCCCCCCCCATGGTAGTTACTGCTTAAGACGATTTTTAATTAGGACAGAACACATACCAAGGGATAAAACTTGTGATTTTGCGAGGTCCTCTAATATACAAGTTGACATGAATGTCTGAGACTTTCCCAAAACATCTTTTAAATAGAAACCTTTACATCCTTTAGGACTTAAGATTCCATTATACATGGCCAATAAGATGTACAGGCATATATGAAAGGCTACAAGAATCCCCTAGAACAACTCCCTTTCTTAAAAATTGGCCAATAAAAAAAATTCCAACGAAATTACTCAACTAATGGACCCCCCCCCAATTGCTATCTGATAAGGACATTATGCAAAGTACAAATATTACCATTGTCTCCAGCAAGGAACTCGAAAATTAGCACGTGTAACGTGGAAAAGCAGTAAATACATGGGTGAAAAAAAAGAGAGGTCCTTCCCTGCCTGCCCAACACTTTGTTTGAATAGGAAGAAATGAAAGGAAAAGAAGAGAAGAGAAATAGAGGGAGACAAAATCTCTTGTTTGGGTAAAAGATTGGGGGAAGGAAGGGGAAGGAGAGGGAGGGATCTATTTTCCCTCTCTCTATAATAACCATAATCTCTCCAAAATTGGAGAGATTTGAAGGGAAAATGGAGCTCACCTCCCCCTCCCTTTCATTTACCTTCCCTTCCTCCATTCTCCTTCCCCTTCTTTTCTTTCCTTCTTTGCTATCCAAACAAACCGCAAGTCACCTCCTTAACCAAAAAGGCCAACACCTAGTTCGGACCAAACATAGCACATGCAAGATGAATTTTTAATTTACTAGACAGCAAACTGAAAGGACTAGATACTAAAACATTATGCATTTCATATTTGCACATAATAATTTCAACACCGTTGTAATATATATGTAGGAGATTTCTTCACAGAAATACATTCAGAAATAATCAAAAGCATAAAATGAAGCTGGCCAAGAATGTCAGATGTCTAGGAAGAAAACTTAATTACTTTGTAAGATATGTAAATTTTTAATACCTGAGAGAAATTAACTATCACAGGAAGAATATGTGCAATACAATCTTGTGGCTCCAAAAGCTTTCCAAGGGCTGCACAACCCTCAACAGCCAATAGACGAACAGAATCTTGATCTGAAACAAAGTTGTCTTCAATATAAATAACAATACAGTAAAATACATCCTTCTAACACCATATAAAACAGATAAAATGACACTCTAATATTACTATCAAGTTATAATACATCCTTCTGAAAACACAGACACAGTGCAAAAAGAAGCATAGAGCACAGATAAAATGAGGGCACTCTGGTATTATTGTCAGCCATCGGCCTCAGATGAAAGATATGAGAAACTTTATTGCCTCTATTTCCTGGGTAAAGAGGTCCCATAAACCTAGCTCAAAATTGCACTGTAAAAGCAAGCATCAAGTACATAAAGATATCCAAAGGGTTTGTTCAAATCTCTGAAACTAATTTTCATCATTTGGAACTTGTTTCTTTCAACTGATTTTTACAGATCTATTCAAATTGATATAAGTCAATTCTTTCAACCAATCAAAGCTGATTTTGCCTGCCCAAGTCAACTAAAAGTGAGCTTTACTTCTTCACTGGTGTTTTTGTCACATGCAGCTATATTATTTGTCTATGTAAAACTGGCTAATGAAGGTTGTATATTTACTAACCAAAAGAACAAAGGTCATATGCCTTACAAGATAAGAACCAACACCAGGTACATTTACCAATGCGCACTAAATTTTGAATAAATAAAGGAGAGAGAATAAATAAGAAAAATAATAGACTTTTCTTTTTCGCCCCTCAATAATTATCTCACGCTTACGCAACCTACCTCACACTTGCCAAAACTGATTTTCAATGACAAAAGAAACTTATACGGAGTACTACAACTGATTTAGATAAATAAAAATGAGCAAGGCTTAGTCTTAATCAATCCATGAAATGCACAACATAGAATCAGCAGCCTACAAAAATAGGAACTTTCATTTATGGAATCATCTACAATGCTGACTACTGAGTACATGTACAGAGTTGCAAGTTAAAATTAGTTTCAATCAATCTTGGGCAACTTCAAAAAGAGTAAAACATACCATCTTGTGTCAAATCCTCAAACATTGACATGATATCAGCCTTCAAATTGGTAGCATCAACAGTAGCTGCAAATTTACCCAGATTGCTAGCAGCTGATCTTCTGACCATTGGCATGTCATCTTGACACAGTTGGCTGTATATTGTTCTCAACTCAGCTTTTATGTTATCTGGAGCGCTTGGGTAAGCAATATGGAATAAGCCACATGAAGAAACACGAGCAGTAAACCACTCACCAGCTGCCAACCTCTGAAATTCAATACACACTGACCAATTAATGAAACAGAAATAGATACATTCACTTTATGATTTATGTTTGAAAGCGAGTACAAATTTTCCATTTAATGACACAGAAAAAATTCAGAATGAAAAAGAGTTCAAAATGTTTGCTAAATTTAACTGGCATCAGTAAATAATCTTTGATCGGAACTTTTTTACAATAATCATATAAGATAAAAAAAACCTGAAGATAAAGAGTGAGAGGTTATTTGATCATACAGACATAGTGCTTTTTCTGTATACACCATGAATTCATAAATCCCATAACACCAAATGTTCAGATGAGACCAAAGAGACAGATATAAAAGTGAAAACAACCAGCAAATATAATCTCTCTTCCATCCATTGTTATTAAAATCCCGATTTAAATCTTAGAATCTTATGATTTTACGATTCATGTATATCATACGATTGATTTACGATTCTACCCAATTTTACATATTTTTCTGAACTAGCGAAATCCTTACAAGTAAAAAATATGTTTATATAGGTTTTTATAAATAAATATTGTGAAGTATTGATTGCTTAATGGTTAAATAACTATTATCTATCAATAATTAGGTTTCAAACTCATAATTTCAATATATTTAATTAAATTTACATTTGACGTCTTGATTATGCATGTTGGTAGAATCTTACGATTCTATGATTTGATTTTACGATTCGATTCTGATAGCACCTTCCGATTCAAAGTAGAATCCCGATTTTAATAATTTTGCTTCCATCCCAATCTACTTACCCCATTACCATTTGCATGGAATTTTATGCAAGTGATGTAGGACATAGGATAAACATTGATGAGTGTGGGACCCAACAAAGAGAATAAGTAGAGCAAAACAAATTCCTATAAAGGAAATGGGCAAGTAGATTAGAATAGCACAAAAGGGAAAATGGAGTAAGTAAATTGGGACGGAGGTAGTATATCATCCATATGTCAATAGCAACAACCCCAAAGTGCAGTATTATTATGTATATTTCCCTTCCACTTTACCCACCATACCAAATGCTGTATAAATTTTTAATATACCAGCCACAACTATCATCAAAAGCCATTCCCGAGAGTTAATCACCTAAGGTTCACAAAGCTATTGTCAAACACGACATATACCTTGGAAGCGGCAGTTAGAGCAAACTCCATTGTCATGTTTAGACTAATAAATTTTTCTTCCAAAAAGGTTCTTCATAAATTATCTTCAACAAAATATATACTCATCTTCCCACTACTATCCTAAACTCCACATAGAAATTATCCAGAACAGTCTGTCAATGATGTGTTTCTCCAGTCCAAAAAATGAAAAAGAAAAAGAGAGTTCCAAGAAGACCAAAATACACAACTATGCTTTTATCAACTGTAGACACCCAAGCTGAACTAAGTACAACACTATAACCCATACCCAATGTAATCATAGTAAGCTTAATGTTGCTAGTGTTTACATATACTTCGATTCTCTAGATAACTATACAATCTCAGATAGCAATATAGTGCATTTAAGTTCATCAAAAACAATTGCATAGAACATAAAATCTAATCACGAGAAGTTATGATCTAACCTTGACCATAGGAATAAACGCGTCAATAAGATCAGATTCCCTCATCTGGGCACCAATTTTGCAAAGTGACTCGACCGATTTGTCCCTCACACAAGTCTCTTCAACACTACACAAGGTCTCCAAGGGCGGAAGCAAAACAGTAGCATGCTCCACACCACCAACATATGGAATAAACACTCCCAACTCTTCGGCCGTAGCAAGAAGCACCTCATCATCATCATCATTATTCTCACTCAAGAATGGAATCAGTTCCTTACGGGTTCGCTCCTCACTGAGAGCTCTAGCAATCGTTGAAAGACGACGAATCGAATTCAAACGAAGCTGAATATCCTCGTTTTTCAGCTCATCAATTAGAACAGCAATTGGGTATAACGGTTCGTCTACCATAGCCATTATACCTCACCGATTCGTGATTTACTGTCAACAGTTTACCCAAAACAACAAAAATAAGCAACCCCATTAATGTTTTTTCTCTGACAAACCAATTTAAAAACAAAAGGTACCAAATTTAACAAAAAACTGAAACTTAATTGAAAGAATATCTGAAACTGAATCCAAAGTTGAATGGGTACAAAATTAACAGGCATTTTAAGGATAGATCTAAACCTAAAATCGAAAAATTAGAAAACTTCAAAAAGATCTTGATTCAAACAAAATAAACCGCAAATGGGTCCGTCGAAAATGTAAAAAATAAGAGATCTAAATTACACAAAATTAAATTAAATACCAAAAAAGGGAATCTGCAATAAAAATAATTTATAGAAATCTGAAACAATAATGTAGAAATTGAGAAAGAAGAGAAGAGGGGAAAGAGGGCGTACCAAAAAGAGTAGAGTTGAGCGTGCAGGTGAGTCGATCGAATGTGAGGGGTTCAGGAAAGAGATTAAATTCAGAGAGAAATGGTTCAAACAATGAAGATGAAATAATGGAAATGGAAAAGGGCATACAAAAAAGTAGAGTGAAAGGGTGAATTCCAGGGGAGTTAGCAAGAACCAAGGTTTCAAAATCATAGATTATGGAGACCGAGCCCACCGAGGGTGTGAGAAATTTAAAAAATATAAATAAAAATATAAATTAATAAATAAAACGCAAAATTTCATGTCGGGCTAGCCATACTTTGCTGTAGGGGTGAAAGTGATATGGACAAAAACCGAAAACCGAACCAAACCAAACCGAATTAGAAATTCGGTTTGGTTTTTTTCGGTTTTCGTTTTGGATCGGTTTCAAAAAATTGAAACCGAAATATTTCGGTTTGGATTCGGTTTGGGGCTTTCAAAAACCGAAAACCGAAATCCAAACCGAAATTTTAAAGCCCAAAGATTCTCAGCCCATATATCCGGATATCCCCTACATATATAAAGCAAAACCCTAATTTTTTACTTCCCTTCTTTCACTCTTCTCAGTTAGTCAGTTCTCATTTCTGCGGCCTTCCACTATTCCTCACCAAAACCCTTATCCTCCATTCCTCTCTCAACACCTCACTCACTCCGGCCACCTCCTCACTAACTCCGACAACTACCTTCCTCAGTACGTATCTCACAACCACCTTCATCAGTTCGACAGTTCGTGTTTGTGCTCCCTCGATCTAGTCACGATTTCTAAAAGCAGCTTGTGTTCTGGTGTTTGTCATCACCACGATACCACCTTCCTCAGTCCGGTCACCACCTCCATCACTCCTTCAGTCACGATTTGTCACCTTATTCCACCGCTATTCGTGTTCGTCGCCGCTTGTGTTCATCGTCGCTCATCAATCACCATCACCATAAATTTTCTGGGTTATCCTTGATTTTTTTAATTATCCTTTATATAATCTATAGTTGTAGATGTTAGTCTTGTAATCAATACAATTTATAAAATTATTATAGTTGTGTTAGTGTATTACTTCTTTTTATTATTATTATTTTTTTAGATCTATTCATTGTAAATTTGACTGTTTTTTTAAAAAAATATTTTTCTTCAACAATCTGGAAAAATCCCCTTAAAAGTTCGATTTTCGGTTTGGAACCGAATTAGGTTTTTAAATTTCGGTTTGGATTGGATCGGTTTCAAATCTAGTTCGGTTTGGATTCGGTTTGAAAATTTCAAAACCGAATTAATTCGGTTTGGATTCGGTTTGGTTCAAAATCCAAACCGAATACCGAACTTTCACCCCTACTTTGCTGTTGGGATTATTTATACAGAGATGACTTGATCAGGGATGACCAGGGGTTGGTTACTTGGTCGGTCAAGAGTTATTTAATTGGGGGTTACTCGAGATAATATGTTTTAATATACAAATAATTGAGCAAAAAAAATTGTTTTTTTTTATAGGATATGGAAAACAAGGCAAGGATTCTTTACAATTACTCATATAAACGAATTGAATTGAAAGGAATGTAGTGCAGCTTGGTAGCATGTTTGTTTCGGGTACAAAATGTCACACGTTTAAATCATGTCATTCCTACCTAATTATTGTCGTGGATTACTCGGTTGGTCATCAGTTACTTGTCAGGGGTCACTCGGTCGGTCAGTGATTACTCAATTAAGGGTTACTCAATCAGTCATGGGTTACTCGGTCGATCAGAAGTTACCCGGTTAATATTTTGAGGTGTTTCAGTCGGCCAAAAGGGGTGGCCAGCCACACAAAAAACGCGCTGATAAATAAATAATCAAAAACTACCTTTTAAATCTTTGAGGTTCAGCATATTTTTGTTTTCAGTTTTTTCATATTTTGAAAATGAAAAACAGGAAACAAGAAAAAAGTGTTACCACTTTTCTATTGTCAGTTTTCAAATTTATTATGATTTTAATAATTTTGGTCCTATTTTTTTTCCCTCATATTATATGACATATTTCTTCTGTTTTTAATACTTATAACACATCCAGCTTATGACCCACTAAATTGTACTTCTAACAACCTCACACCCTATTTAAAGTGAATGAAACATGTGAACCCCACTTTTCTTGAATAATAGGGGGTTGTTAAACGTTGCTTCCATTTTACAAGGGAACACTGGCATTTTTTTTAAGTAATTTCTATTTTTACCCTAGCATATAAATACGGAATTTCCACTCAACGACTCACATTTTCACTCTCTAACCTCATTCACTCTCATTTTATCTCTCTAATTCTCTTAAAAAATTAACATCTGAAAATTTTGAAAATAAAAAAAATAAATAAATAAATAGAAACTGATTAGGGGATTTTTATCCACCAATCACCGTCTGACAAGTGGACCAACCAGGTTCCGCCACGTGTCCTTCACGAAGGCCAACAGGAGCTTGCCACGTGTCAGTCACAGATACGTCCTCCACGGACCACTTAAGACACGCCACGTGTCCACCCATGCCAAGTGGGACAACCGGCCATCAAGGCCCATTTCAGTCTAGAGGCCCGATCAGCCCTAGGTTTACCTTAAGCCTAGAGAGTTGCACGCTTCCCAAGGCTATAAATACTCGATTAATCCTCATTAATCAAAAAAGAACAAAAAAACAACCGAATAATTAAGAGATCAAGCAGAGAAGAACAGACTTATTAACAACCGGCTAATCTCGCTAACGACGCAGATTACCAACACTAAGCACTCTCACCTAGAGAGATCTCATTACTTTACTTTCTGTATTGATTACTCCTTAATCAGGTACTAACTTGACCGTTGGAGGCGGAGCTCTCAGGAGTCTCCGTTATTTTGCAGGTACAGACGTCCGGTTCCAGTCTCGGAATTGTAACTCTCCCGCAGGACATCAGAAAACCCCGAAACATTTGGCGCCGTCTGTGGGGAGAGTACTTCAGAGATGGCATCCAAGTCTGTACCGACTCCAGAAGAGAGGCGTTCCCTAGACGACCCTCAAGTTCAGTCGGACCATGATACCGAAAGTGAATTTGAAGTTGAAACTCATACAGCTCCAGACGGGACCCTAAGGGCCCGCCGTACGCGTCATACTGAAATAAGGGAACGGGAGTATCTTCAAACAGGAAGCGAGCCAGCAGGCGCACCGCTTGCTCGGCAACAGCCGACTGATGGGTCTGCTCCCATCACAAGGAACGAACTCATGACCTTCATGAGGGACTTCAAGGGAGAGATCCAAGAGTTGATCAACAAAAAACCGCCTGCTTCAGTCAAAGAGCAGTCGGCCAAGAAACCTTCCACTTCACTGAGGAGGAAGCCAGTTCAAGGGCGAGAGGCGACTCCCCATCCTAAATCCAAGAAGCGGGAACCGTCTGCTCTTGATTTCACAAAATTCCGTTACCCTACGGGAAATAGGAAACCGGTTCGTCATATTCAGGCGGACGGGTCAAAGCAAACGTTCACAGATGCTCGGCACCTGCTAGAGCAGAAGAAGAGTGACCGATTATCAGAGTCGGCTTCTACTTCAAATTTTCAGGACAGTTTGCGAAACGCCTCGATGAGGCCAACTCAGTCGTACCATGAGAGTCAGTCAGGCGGCACCTCCCGTCAGTCCGACTTTCATAGTGCCCAGGCGGTACCAAACTTACCATTTGTGCCGCAACAACAGTATTTTATGCAGCCACCTCCATTTGGTGGACCTGCAGCAAAAAACGTCCAACCTATGGACTGGCAGCTACGGCTGCTTAGACTTGGTGAACAGCCGTCGGCCTTCTCCAAGGAAATTACTGAAGCCGCTCAGCCGGCCAAAGTAAAAAATGTTTTAGTAGGCGCCTATGATGGCACTACTAACCCGGAAGACCATCTGATGGCATTCACCAACCTGATGTACCTTCAAGGGTTGGATGATCCCACTTGGTGCAAGTGTTTCCCAGCGACTCTCAAGGGAATTGCACAGCAATGGTTCGGCAACCTGCCGACTGGTTGTGTAAACAGCTTCAGGACGCTTGCTTACTTATTTGCCTCCAACTTCGCAATGAACATCCCTGCGAAGAAAACGACCCTTGATTTGGGAACAATTCAGCAGGGTGAAAATGAGGGGCTTCGTTCCTACATCAGGCGGTTCAACCTGATGAGAATACAGATTCAAGGGTTACCGGATGAGGTAGCTTATACTGACTTTTTTAGAGGTCTCAAAGACGGGTCTACCTTCAAATTTGATTTAGTTCGAAAAAGGGTGGCGACTCTTCAAGAGGCCTTGATTGAAGCAGAAGCCTATATACAGGCGACTGATCTGTGTACGATGAAACAGTCGGACGGGAAGAGGTTCGACAATAGAGAGGGACGACAGAAACAGTCGTCCAACAAGGATGAAAAAAGAAAAGGGGTCTGGGCGGCTGATTCCTCTAAACAGCCGGCCCAGAAAAAGAAAAAAGAATTCAAACCATACTCCCCAAAATATGTGTTTAACAAGGATAACCAGTTTATCCTAAAAGAAATAAAGGGACGGCTCTCAATTGAGAAGCCGCTCCCCATGAAGGGTTCTGCGAGCAACCGGAACCAAGACAAAATCTGTGCTTATCATGATGACATTGGTCATCACACCAATGACTGCATCAGTCTCATGCGGTACCTAGACCGATTGGCTGATCAAGGTGATCTTGACACTTATGTCAAGAAATCTGCGGGAAACACTTCCTCAAAAAAGCAGTCGGCCAAAAAGAATCAGCAGGCCGACAGTTCTGATACAGATGATGCAGTCGTCTACACCATTGCAGGCGGCTTCTCAGGAGGCGGCCCCTCTATTAGGGGCAACAAAGATAATATAAGGCGGTTAGATGTAAATTCCGTTCACCAAGAACGACCGTCCAAATATACATTTCCTGAGATTGTCATCACTGAAGAGGATCTAGGAGGAATAAGGGGGCCGCATGACGACCCTCTCGTTATTGAATGTAAAGTGGCCAACCAGAGAGTTGGCCGAATCCTCATAGATACCGGGAGCTCTTCAGATCTCATCAGCAGCAAATGTCTATCAAAACTGAAATATCAGACGGACTGCATACATCCGGCCTCCCCCCCTTTAATAGGGTTTGGGGGAGGAGTCGTCCACCCACTGGGACGAGTAGATCTACCCATCCGCCTGGGCGAAAAAGGGGAAGGACGACACATGGTAGTCCGGTTCCTAGTGGTAGAGGAACTCT